TAGGGTTACAAGGCTACTGAAGTATGCTTAGCTAACTGGCTGCAATGGTAGTCAAGAAAATACCACTGCAGTTTAAATCTGGATAATAATGGGATTTAAGGTCTAACGGAGAGGTCAAGTTGAAACTATGCGTTGATTCCCACCTGTTTTAAATTGCCCAGTACAGCTTTCTCAATAGCACATGTATACCCCCTTTGTACCATATGATAATATATTTAATAGCAACAACTTGTTTTTAAACACTCAAACAATAAATTATCAAAAAGGATCCGGAGAAGGCAGTAACAAGACAGAAAACTGTTCTGGCAAAACTTACCCCTCCCCACAGTGATAGTGGTTTCATAAGGAAACAATATCGCATGGGAAAATGTTGCAAAATTAGATTTTGTATCAAAAGAGTGCTCCTTGCCTTGGGTACATGTCTGTCTTTACCTGTACCAGGGAAGTATAAAACAGAACGAAGAAAAGTGTAGCAAAAGCTGTCTATTTATTAAGTATTACATTGCTGTCTTGCCAAGGAAAATTGGAGAGGGAAGAGTTCACCACCAAGTCATCCTCAGCAAAATGAATGTTCTCAACAAGAGCAAAGACATTTTGTGTCATCTCTGAAAGAAAATATTTGTGTTACGTGGAAATGAGTGAAATTCCCATGCCTGCGCTGTTATGTACATATGTATGTATTCCAAGCTGCACAAGTCAGTCCTCCAAATGCCGACAATCCTCTTTTAAGATACAGCTCCATGGCAAAGAATTAGGATTCTCTTTATTATCCCATCATGAAAAGGCCCTGTCACCCTTCCTTAGTGAAGATGGTCCTCATTTTCCTCTTGAGATCAACGTAATCAGGCTCCCTCTCCGACAGGCTTTCTAAGTCTTGCTCTGGAAGGCGAACGCACCTCAGACTGACTTAGCTCCCAACATTCAGACAGCCCCTTTCACCTTCACTTGGGCCTGCCCTGCTAGCTAGAAAAGCTCGCTCTTTTAGTCCTATAATGATCCTACTGAGCTTATGCTCCATAGTGCAGACAGACTTCTTTTGGGTTCAATTTTCCCAGCACCTTCCTCTCTCTCTCTCTCTCTATATATATAAGATGTGTATAAGAGACAGGGGCCGATCCTCCGCCGCGGAGGAGGGGCGGCGGGGCCGCTGGCTTCCCCGAGGGCAGCGTTGTTTCCGCGCAGCCCCGCGGAGCTCTTCGTGTCCGCACGGGGCTTAAACTCCTCGGTGGAAACTTGAAACGGCTGCGCGCACTGGAGCCGCTGCTCCGCGCTCAGGCGCTCGTAGTCTGTTACGGCAGGGCTGGGGTGCTGACCCCGGGTGTGTAACTCGGTGACCTCAGCCTGCCCTCAGCTGCTTTTCCGCAGAGTTAAATATCAGTATTTAACGCCGCTCCTTCAGGTTATGTGAAACCCAGTGCGCTTTGCGCTTTCGTGCTTGTCTTCCTTGAAAGTTGCAGAATGTGTGTGAGAAACTAGACGTGTGGTGCTGATGAGGTAGTCTGGCAGTACTTTTTTTTTTTTCCCCCCGAAGTAATACAGTCTGACTGGCAAGTGAAATATCAGTCTTAATTCAGCTTAAGATTCTATAACAGCAGTCGACTTGGAGTCGAACCTCCTTAACTTGCTGCGAGGAAAAAGAAAACGCCTTTGGAGAAATAGGGGGGTGAGAGAACAGGCAGAGTTTATGTTGAAATGATGCATTATTTTCAAGATATGCTTACATCTTGGGAATTATGTTGTGTTCCTGTTGATGTGAAAGACCTTCGGGTAAGGCTTCGCTGATGCCTGGAAAGAATTATTATTTTGGTGGTTTTTATGCATCCCAGTTCTGAAGTAGCGAAGTAACAAAAAGGCAAAGGTGAAGTGACACTGCAAACGGTATTTATCTTCCTTTCTTTGGTCTTAAAACAGCATTTGACAATTGTAAGGGGAAAACTGAAAGGCATGGTTTTGCTGCAAGTAGCAGACAACATCGTGTACAACTGCAAATTGAAATATTTTTCAGAATATTTCAATATGAACAGAAAAGATGTTCATAAAGTGACACAGTTATGTTTCAGTTTCCAAGGCTTCCTGTGCTTCTATTGTTGGGAGACAGTAAAGGTTGCCTTCAGAACATGGAGATTTAATTCCAGCACTTCCCACAAACTAGAATGCAGGATGGGAATTGACAGGTCAGAGGAGAGTTGAAAAGCACAGGGGTACTCAGTGAGAAATAGGCTTTATTTATGTCTGAAAAACGGGAACTTTATGGGAGAAGTGATGAATAGAAAACTCCAGGGGCTACTGATTGTAAGGGCGACTGTTTTATTTTCTTATGAGCTGTCGTTGGGGGAGGTAACCATGGTTTCAAGACATTACAGATGTTGAACCCCAAAGCTGATAAGGATATCTAAATAAAAATAATGGAATAAATTGATAGCCATGCTGCTGTGATTTCCTTTTGACTACTGTAGTTCCAGCTGTTCAATTAAGAATACAGCAGAAAGTTACTGGTGGCATCAGGAGATCTCACATAAATGGGAGAGGACTGAATTGAGTAGCTTTCCCTAAAGATAAGAGGTGTGTTTCTTCTCACTTGTAAGGAAGACCCTGGTCTGTCAGTTTGACCACACATCTGACCAGAAAAAACTATAAAAGTTAAGTGGGATGAAACCTCTACCTGAGGTGAATTACGGCAGATGTGACACAGTATGGAGACAGTATGCGTGTTTCCATTTACCTTCCAGTACTAAGGCTGCTTGATAAAAATCCCACCAGTACTGATTGTAAAAGGTATAGTATAGTTGCAACAAATAGCATTAGATATTCAGTAGTTGGATACTTTAAAGTATGCTCTTTTGTGGATTTTGCTGTATTTTTGTCTACCCTCTTCGCTAGAGCATCTTCAGTACAAGTGGATCCATAGGTCCCATTGACTTCAATAGCAGCCTTTATGGTCCTGGTAAGATAATTAGCTCTAACTAACACAGTATTGGGAGGACATATTTAACATAATTGATGGATGTGGGGTGGGGTGTGTGTGAAGTAAAATTCAGGAAAAGAATGAGATGTACGCTGATGGTATCCCAAGGGTATCTGATTCCTGAGCCTTACACTGTGAAGCATGAATGGTCATTGCAGTTACACTGCAAGTCTGAGCCTGCCAGTCTGCGAGGGGTCTTTTCCTTGCTGGATGATTATGCAGCATTGGCACAGACGTGTTAGCTGTATGTAGGTAGCAACGAGGAGCAGCACTATATTGACTAAAAATGGGTGAGTTGGTCTCAGTTTTGATTCTCTGATCTCTTAAGAATCTGTAAAGATATATGAGAGGGTGGGAGCTTGAGTAAATGGCAAATTGATGCATATGGCGAAGGTAGTCTTGGTGCACACTGACTCAGTTGAGGATTTGCAGTTCTCTCTTCTCTAAAGGCTCAGTTGAAGACCAAATGGCATCTTCTATTTAGTTGAGTATTTAGGGTGCTTTCTCTTCTTTACCAAACGTCTGGTAACGCACTGATTGACACAAGTTCCCAGTATGAGGATGCATACACCTTCCTTTCTGAGGGATTAAAACTAAACTTTAGCGGTTAAAATCACTGGGCCTTTCGTGTCTGATATTCTTGGACATCTCAAGTTCTTCAGTGATACATTTGAAACTTCTTCATTCTGACTTGCTTCTGGAATGTTCTTTGATACTGAAGAGTTTCCAAATATTCTCAAACTGCTGACATGCAATTAGAGTTAATACTGCACAGTAAAGCTGGATGTGAGAGATCCAGGTACTTGAATCTCCTGTCTTTAAGCTTTTTTTAATTTAACACTTTAAGTTGTCTAGACTTGCTGTAAATCAGGTTGGGTATGCAAAAGCACTCTTATTTGCCTCCCGCAGTGTGAGAAGTTGTCTTGAGATTGAGCTGCTTCCATTAAGAGCAGGGTGATTTTGTAGTCCTGTCTGTATTGGTGAAATCTTGCCTTATCCTTCATTTTCTGTGCCCTACTATTGTGTGTATGGGGTATTTGCTTGTGAGTAGAGGCAGTAAATGGAGATGGTTTGAGAAAGAGTGAATGCCTCAGTAAAGGAAATAATAGACTCAGGTTCTTTTATGTAGCTAATGGCAGGGTGTTATGCTTAAAAGCAGCAAAACAAAGCTGACAAAAGGGAACTTTTAATTCTGCTCACCTGTTCAGCATAAGGTATTTCTTACTGCAAGTTATGAATGTGATTAATTAGTGTAAATATTAAACACAATGATGTGAAATATTTCCTGATGCATTAACTGGGCAAAGAAATCAAGCAAGTTTTAAGATGCAGATACATTGGTTAATGTGAGCTGGTGGTTATGTCCTTTTTCTTGGTAGAAATACCTGGCATTTTCTGCCTTGCATCGAGTGAATGAGAAATGTGCTTGCTATGTCCTGTTTTGCTCCTTGCTAGTGAGTCTCTCTTGAGAAGAGATTTGGATCTTTAACCTGTATACCTGCCAGAAAAACTCACCTGTCCTACTTGTTGTTTGTGCCACAGTTGCAGATGGTAGTTTACTGCAGTAGTTTTGCGTTCTAGTAGCAGTGCTTTGCTGCACAGCTACTCTGCATCTTTGCATGTTTGCATTTGGTTTTGCAAACTGACTGACTGCTGCATTTTGAAATAAGCTGCTGATCCAAATTTGCCTGAAGACTGTGGTGCCTGCTTCAGCGGCTTTGTAAACCCATGGGCAGAGAAGCTGCAGGTGAGCCTTGGAGGGAAGGGGGAAGGAGGGTGGACAGTGTGGGCTATCTTGGTCAGCCAGCCCAAGGTGTGTGCTCCACATTTTCAGTGTGCAGGACAGAGGGAGGGATGTGGACTCCATCGGTAAATAACCTACAGGCTATTCGAGGTGTGTGGGCTAATTGCATGGGCTCATGCCTTACCATTTTGTCTCAGCTGCTGTAGTTGGCCATACAGAGACTTACACTACCACAGGTCTACTGTTAAGTGCTACACATGCCTTTTTCTGGGCAGATGTATGTATAATATTCTTTATCCTCTATAGGTAACATGTGAGAGACTTGTGCGTCGTGGATGGTAAACTGCTAAGGATGCAAAATGCCTGTATACCCAAGAATCGATATAAAACAATGCATTGCCCAGGTATGAAAGATCCTTAAGGATATCATCTGTATGATGATGACTAACTTGCTTTCTGCCCTAAAGTTACAAAATACAAGAAAACTTACCTTGCGGCAAGTGAGCTGGAGAGAACTGCTTTACAAACTGTGATAGAGATTTTAGTGCAAGGGCTTGGTCAACAACATTTTAACAGAGGAAGGAGCAATTTAACTTTTATCAGAGAATGATTTCAGTATTTTGTCTTTGTAACCCTCATAAAAGAAAACCTGCTCTTTTAAATAGGTGATGGAATGACTAAATCATAGTTACAGGCACAGTATCCGATAATGAAGGCATGAAGAATTGTTTAAGGGAATACTATTTATACTTGAAGCCTTCTGAATCTTTTAGCATTGAGGAAAACTAATCATTATTGAATAATCTATGCAGTTTTTAACAGTGCGTAAGGACTACTTCTGGGAACATCTTAGCTTCTGGAAAAAGAGAAGTAATTAGTTATTTAATTAGTTATTTTCATTCTCAGCATTCCTCTGCAAATTATTTTCTTTCCCAATTGGAAATGGCCAGTATTAAATGCTGCAGTGCTGTCTTCACTAACAATCTATCGGAGTGTTTGCTGAAAGCCTTACCTTGTAGAATGTTAAATATTTGGATATGTATTTAAGATATAGGTGAAGTATTATTATTATTTAAAATATTTTAAAAAGTCACACGTTTCTGTATGGGGCAGATGTAAGTGGAAAACATGCAGGCAAAAAAGGAGATATATTTTTCTTCTTGGAAAGACTTGCTGAAAAAGTTTTTAAACAGCCTTTAGAAAGTCTTTGAAAAATATTAATCTACTTCATAGCTTGCAAAAGAACTGAAGCAAAATTCAGTTCTGAAAGCCACAGTCAAAAAATCCCAAAGTGAACCAGAATTTGAGAAATAGACTAAATTTTCCCAGTGCCTGGTTTTAGCACAAGGAGGCTTCAGTGCTGGGATAATCTCTGTTCAATGTACTAGAGCTGTGTTTCTCTCTGGTTTTGGGGGCATTACATAGGTGTTATGTAGTTTGTACAGGATAGTATAAACATGTCCCAGGTGTCTCAAAGACCTGGAATAAGTCTAGCTGTGTGTTTTGCATTGGGAAGCAGAAAGTAGCACCCTTTTTCTCCAAGCTCCATCTGTCTGAGAGTTTGACTCATTTAATGTTTGTTAATGACCTCGGGTAGCTGGTGTTCACACAAATTTTGGAGTCAGTCTTAGGAATCTAAACTTCAGTTTAAGTGAGGATCTAAGCAGATTTTTCATATGAATCAAACTAAACGTTGTTTTCAAGACTAAGTCAGTTACTGCATTAATCCTGGATTTTTATCATTATGTCCCGATTCTGTTTTAGGGGCAAGGGGAATGCCTTTTTTTCTGAGTGGCTGCTTAACTCATGGATGCAGATAAGCAGGCAATTGAAGAGAAATTTCTGTTCTGAAGTTGCTCTCACTTTTTAGTCCTGTATGTTGTATTTACCAGGTGATTTTGTCATTGTGAAGCCTGAGAGTAAATCTAATTTGGGTCAATTACCTGTAATACATAGGAAGCAGAGTAATCCATGTAGACGTATACATCTTCTGAGAGTAGGTGACTAGGACTGGGAGGACAAGAATGTGTCAGGTGGGCTGTAGCTGCCAAATCCTGCTGGAACTGTATTTTTTTGTCTGCTTTTCTTGCACTTCATTGAAAGAAGAGGCAAATAATGATTTTGGTTTGTTTGTGATGATTTAAAGGTTGTAGGGATTTAAGATAAAGAATTAGTAATAAGAGAATAAGATGGTCAGCTTTGAAAAAAGTGAATGATCAAGTTTCTCTTCAATTCTTTCACTTGACACTGAAGGTGGCTTTAGTAGTTAATCATTCAAGTCAGCAGCTAAGAAGCATTGGTTTATATAAGTTTTATGTTGTTTGGAACGTGCACTTCATAGCTATTTTTCTAGAAAGGGCTTGCATTTTTGCCAGTTAAGGATTAAAATGTGAGGTGTCTGTTTAATTAAATACAGTTCTTCTACAAGGTAGGAGACTACTTTCTGAGAATAGGATGTTTTAAATGTATGCATGTTAAGTTTTTTCACTTAGGGAAACTTAATCACTATTTTCTAATGTAATTTATTATATGGTTGTCATTTACTATTGTGAAGTTGTTGGATGAAAGTTGCACTGTGACTGAAGTGCAGGAGGATGGCATTGTTTTCAGCAGTTGTCTGTAGGCAGTGAATTTGCTGCTCTAATTGATGTATCAGATTTATTTGAAGCAAGTAGATCTCATCCTTTCTTACCTCATTTTTCTTCATAGGTTTGAAGAAGAGTGAATACTTCTCTGCTTAATTCTGTTTCTCACCTTTGAAAGACAAATATCTAATTGCTTCCTTCCATATCACAGCCTACTTGATGCTTCTAACCCGATTATTAGAGTTTGGGGGTTGTTTTCTTGACGGTAGCAGCAGATTTATGTTGATGATTGGTCTGTCTCAACAGAACTTTTAAAAGTTGTATCTAAAAATTTGTCTTAAATCCTTTTTGCTTTTTTTCAGGATAATTTCAATGTGTATAGAGCTAGGAAACACTTCACATTCCCTTCCTTCTTCCATTAAAATGAAGTGACTTCTTCCTTCGGCATGCCTCCTTCACCCCAATGCTGATTGGCTTAATGAGGAGTGATTCAAACTCACTGAATTGGGCTTTTGTTCTTCACTTTTGTATGTTACTTTTTCACTGTTTTCTTTAGATAGGGTCTCAAATGTGTTTTGAGGAATATGTTGTTTAAAACCGAACTAAACAATAAAGCCATTCAAGTGCCTTTGTATCATGAAGATAAAAAGCAAATCTGTTCTTATTTTCAGATTGGTTGGGAGATACAGAACTTCATTTTATTCTTAATCCAATGTTGATTTATTATAGGTGAGTGTATCATGACAAAGACATAGTACCTGATACAAATAACTAAAATATCTAGCAGCCATGTTAATGAATGGAAAGATGACTTGAATAATACTAGCTATTAAACTATGTTATTTCCAAGCCATGTTCTAAACAGCTATATTTTTATCAGTTTGATTAGACAAAAGGTATAAACTAGTATATTCCTTTAAAATCTTCCGTTACTTTGTGATAAGTCTGAACAGAAACATGTGTAAACTAGCTTGACATGTTTTTAATGTATCAGTGTTTCACACAGCAGTTTTTTGCTTGTCTTGATCTTATTTTTGTTTCACTGTCTAAACTGTGATGTAGTAGCATAATTTGTGGCTGATTTTAAATTTTTTTTCCCCAAAACTCAACGTGTCTTCCTTATAGTAAAAATTGGCTTTTTTTTCTCAATTTTTCCAGAAGGGACTTTCAACTAACAGGCACTTACTTCAGTAATGGGTTGCATTGATTTCTTGCTGCAGGTGAAGCTTGTTTTACACATATGGATTAAGTGAAATGTGTGTGTGATTGGATGAGGGACTAGACATCAGTACGTGTTTCCCTAATAGTGAGTATGCAAGTTTGAAGGTATTGTGGTTTCTTTTTCTGGCTGTGACAATCTGTAAGTATTCTTGTGAGATGCCTATTTCAGAGAGAGGTCCTGTAGGTTGGTCCCTGATGGTAAAGCTTTCTCCTTAAGATGGAGAGCCAGGATTTGAGGCCTCCTTCTCCATGCTTCCTTTTTTCAGTGATGGCAGCATTAGTTAATTTAAAGGAAGGAAGAAGCGATGCATCACCTGTGTTTTGGGAAGGCTTAAATCTAGTAAAACCTACCTCACCTATTAAATTGAGTCTCACAAGCAAGGTTGTGTTTAGTGTCCAGAATACTGTGGCCAGTTTTGGACCCACAGTACAAGAAAGATATTGATAAACTGGTGTGAGTTCAGCAGAGGGTCACCAATCAGGGGTGGGAGCAGCTGCCCTATATGTGTGGAAAAGCTGAGGGAATGGACCTTGTTCAATCTAGAGAGGGGACAATTTTGGGGCAACCTAGCAGCATTTTGCAGTGCATACGAGGAGGTTATTGAGAAGATTGACCCAGGCTCCACATGGTGCATGGCAGGAGGATGAGAGGCAAAAGGCTCCAACTGAAAGAAGGAGGTCAGTACTGGGACCGGTGCTGTTAAACATCTTTGTTGGTGACATGGACAGTGGGATTGAGTGCACTCTAAGCAAGTTTGCCAACAACACCAAACTATGTGATGCAGTTGACACGCTGGAGGGAAGGGATGTCATCCAGAGGGACCTGGACAGGCTGGAGAGGTGGGCCTGTGCAAACCTCATGAAGATCAACAAAGCCAAGTGCATGGGTTGAGGCAGTCCCAAGCACCAGTACAAGCTGGGCCATGAGTGGTCTGAGAGCAGCCCTGCAGTGAAGGATTTGGGGGTATTAGTGGATAGAAAACTGACTGTGAGCCAGCATTGTGCACTCGCAGCACAGAAAGCCAACCACATCCTGGGCTGCATCCAGAGCAGTGTGGCCAGCAGGTCGAGGGAGGGGATTCTCCCCCTCTACTCTGCTCTTGTGAGACCCCACCTGCAGTGCTGTGTCCAGCTCTGGGGCCCCAGCAGAAGAAGGACATGGACCTGCTCGAGCAGGTCCAGAGGAGGCCATGAGGATGATCAGGGGCTGGAGCACCTCCCCTATGAACACAGGCTGAGAGAGTTGGGGTTGTTCAGCCTGGAGAGGAGAAGGCTCTGGGGGCACCTTATAGTGGCCTCCCAGTACTGAAAGGGGCTACAGGAAAGGTGAGGAGGGACTCTGCATCAGGGGGTGTAGGGATAGGATGAGATGTAATGGTTTTAAACTGAAAGAGAGGTAAATTCAGATTAGATATAAGGAAGAAATTCTTTCCTGTGAGGGTGTTGAGTGACTTGCAGAAAACAGACTCCACAGTTTGAATAGAGTTATACAGCAGGTATGTTTACTCCGGTGCTGGGGTGCAAGGGGATTTCTCCACAAAGCTTGCACACCCACTGCACATTTTACCAAAAACTTAACAGAGTGTGAATATACATATTCATTGCATTACATAACACAAACATACATATGCATAATGAAGGCTGGGTTAGTTCAAAAGGCTGGTGTCAGCAGTTTATGTTCTCTTTGTGCCTGTCCCGATCCAATCTCAGAGGAGGTTTTGATACGATCCCAAGAGCAAGATTAAGACACAAACGAGATCAAATGCTGTATACCCAAAATAGGTTTTTATTATTAAAAAAAGTGAAGAGGGATAGCAATAGGACAGAAAGGAAGGAAAAGGCAGAAATAAAGCAAGGATGCAGGATAGGGCTGCAAGAATAGACACCACCATGGATCCAGTGGCGTCCCGTTGGTCCTCAGCCTTCAGTTCTTCAGTGCTGGGTGCACATGGATCAGGCCTCAATGGTAGATGCAAGATAAGAAAGAGCAAGATTTTCTGCTGCGTTCTTAAGTTCATCATACCAGCTGATCAGCATATCTACTTGTCTTTTGGCTTTTTTTTCCTCTGGTCCAACAGGTTTTGTTGCATCCAGCTTCAAGGGCAGGGAAGTTTGCCTCTTACCAGTTCATTGTCAATGCATGCATGAGGTCTGCCCTACACAATGGGGCCAGCTCAGTCCATGTCTGCCCCTTTGAGGCTTATGTAAGGAGTCTGGATAATGCAACCGCCAAGAAGTGGAGAGTGCATCCTTCAATACACTCCCACTTCTCTGGGCAGCATCCCCCAGACCAATTCACAGGCCATGGCAGCTTATGCTGGAGATTTGCACAGACACAAGCAAGCTTTGAGACAGTCATAGGACATTTCAGTCTCTCACAGTGCCTGCGCATTGCCTCCTGGTGGGCATCTTCGGGGTCTGTTGGAGGAAGGCTCACAGTTTTTCTCACCTTATACTTTTCCTTGGAGCACATGTGGATTCTCTTAGCCAGTTTCTTGACTAAAAAGAGCGGTTCCCACTGGTTTACCACCTCTATCTTTTCTAAAAGCACCAGTCTATGAATTTCTACCACCTATATATGGCTATCTATCTAGAACACATCTGCTTTCCAGGGACATGTCTGTTATTTTTGCTGAACATAGTAGTTCTTGGTAAGTTTCCACAGAAAACTGCTTTGTTTTGATGAACACAGTATTCCTTGGTAAGCTTCCGCAGAACAGTCAGGGCAAGCAGGATTATTAAGCAATATTCAGAAATCAGTATAAGTTGCTATAAGAAAGTAAGTTGCAAATTAGGTGATCATTTCTCTGTATCATGAGACACTGGCACAGTGTTCCAGGCCAGGTTGGACAGGGCTTTGAGCAACTGGGTCTAGTGGAAGGTGTCCCTGCCCGTGGCAGGGGGGGTTGGAACTAGATGGTCTTTAAGGTCCCTTCCTTTAAGGGAAGGCTGTGCTATCTTCAGCCTTGGAGATTTTCATGATCTGAATCCTCTGGCCTGTATCTGGCTTGATGCCAGTTCCAGTTCTGCTGTGAGCCGTGAGGTCAGATTAGAGACATCCTGAGTTTGTTTCCAACGAGCATTATTCCATGGCTTTCACATCTGTGCTCACCAAGACTGACTGAGATAAGGCTGTAAGGCCATGCTGGAAGCATGTAGCCTGGAAGTGTCTGAAGGAGCATGGCAGTAGAACCAACACTCCAGGCACATTAGGCAGTTAAATGTTAACATTTAACCATTAACATTAGGCAGTTAAGTCCTAAAGAACAAAATGATGGTTGCACTTCTATAAATGACTTCTGAAGTCCTTTCAGTAATCTCATTCCAACTCCACAGCTGATGCCTGCTAGCTGATGCCTGCAAGCAGTTGGTGCTAGTTGCTGTAAGGGGGCTCAGACAAAAATGCATCCAAGGACATAATTTTCGGTATGCACGTTAAGTGGAATGATCCCCCCTGTGCATCCAGTGCTGCAATAAAGAATGCCTGCCCTCTAAAACTTCAAACTACATCTTAGAGGATTCTTTTGAGGCTGAATTTATGGTAACACACCCACAATCTTTCTGTTAGGAAAGAATGTGTTCTAGGGCTTGTGGACTTGCAGTCAGTGTTTTGAAATGGTTTACTGAAGAATTAATCTTCATATAGATGTTCTGTTTCAGAATATCCCTGGAATAACCAGTGTGATCACTCTGAGCTTTTTAGTATTCTGAAATAATAGTTTCAGGTGGTCTTTTTCCTTTTTCTCTACACTGTCTCTGCCCAACTGCCACCATTGTGGAATAGTTGCCTTATTTAACAATAAATGATTCTGTAGTTTGAAGACACAGGCTATATAATTTATAGTATTAAAAGACTTGGAACAAGTCTTTAGTAATTATTACAGAAGTTTGGATTGTCTGGTATATATTTGTAAATAAAATAATGAAAGTTTTGGAAACTAGGAACAGGCTTTATGTGGAAAATACTCCTTATTCTGTCAAGTGCAGTGACCCCTGGTACCTCAGGATTGAATCCCATTCAAACACATGAAGGATGATGGAGCTGGTTCTCAAATCTCAGTTTTCCAGTGAAGCTGATGACTTTTCATTTGTCCATGACATTTTAAACGCTGTATTTCTTTCTTTTTTTCACCCAAACATGTCTGTTTCAAACACGAGCTGATTTTCTTGCTAAAGAGTCACTTAACCTTGGTGAAGTTTTGCATTTGAAATGCTAGATTATCTCATTATTTCTGAAGACGGGAAGCGTTTGTAGAGTGAGTGACAATTCAGGGCAAGCAAAAGAGCCCTAAAGCGATACGGTAATGCTAATGCAAATTGATAGAGACCCTGGGCTTGGCGGCATGAGAAGCTTCAGGGAAGTTGAAATATTGTTCTGTTTTTACTACGAAGATATAGAGGCTTTTGGAGTAGCCTTCAGCTATTGTCCTTTTGAAAATTTCATGTTATTTTTTGGTTATAAAAATGTATGTGGCTGTTATGCTTTGGGCACCAACTCCACCAAGGAACCAAAATGTGTGCCATGTGCCTCTGAGCAGGTGTTTAGTTCAGCCAACTGTGTCTAATGGAAAACATCCTTTTGTTTCACATTTCTGAAAGTGCTAATGTTCAGCTCGGTAGGCTCAATCTGTAGGTATGTAGACTCTCACTACCTTTTTAAGAGTTACTTTTGTAGATCTTAGGTGATTGTGTGCATTTGTCTTCAAAGAGATTAAATAAGGAGCTTCTGAAGCCTTTTCTCCTGGGAGTTCAGCTAAAGGCATAGTTGTAGTTTTTCACAGTGTAGTTATTGGAAAGCAAATGAAAAAATACCAGTAAAAGGCAATGAAAATCTGGGATTTTGGGAGTTACTACCTGATGAACTCGGGTATTCTGTTTGCTCTTCGACTAGTTGGGCACAAACTGGAAATTCTACCAGGCTCATAACTTCAGTGAAAGTTGCTGTCTCATTTTGTTACTTGAGTAATAGAATGATATTTCTCTGCTCCCTAAGAATACTCTGGAATGCTGGGACTTCAGTGAAAGAATAGTGCATTACAGGAGAACTGTAATGGAGTATGGATTTAGTGGATTTAACTTTATTGAGAAACAGCATATGGTCAAAGTCGTCTTTTTTTTTTTTGCCATGGCCCCAGCACTCAAACTAATTTCTTTTGTGAAAAAGGAATTTAAACATTTCTTTCATGTACCAATTTTGCTTTTCTGTTCATGTTATTTGTATCAGGAGTCACTTCTAACTTACTCCATCAGCGAAGGAAAAACTTGAAACCAATAGTGGAACCTCTCCTTTTGATTCAAAGGAGTAGGATTTGGATTTGGCTGAAGATCATTTTAGCTCTGCTTTACTCCTGGCAGTAAGTTGATTTTCAGAAGTGGCAAGAGGTTGTGTGTCTCTTCTTTGGTTGTATTCACCATTTGCCATGTGCAAAAAAGGTAATGACTTGAGCTTGCTTTTTGTTACCTCACTACAGAAGTTTCAACACACTGATTGAAGGACCATAAATTTAAGTGGGTCTGGTGCTTGTATGTATAGCACATGCTGTACTGGGTGTGGTGAGAAACTGATGAGATGCTGAGTTAGTAAGATATTGGCCATGCTTCATAAGGATTTTCCTGCTTTCTGAAGCCAAGGAAGAAGCAGGGGAGAATTTAATTGTATAAATTGTGTCAACTGCAAGATGTCTTGCTGTTGCTGACACTCTGGAAAAATTCATACTAGGTGAGAAACAGACTTGCAGCTCAGTGCATCTTCTTTCAAGTGGTTCCTGTTGACCATGCTAAGATTTCATTCTAGTAGCTTGAAATTGGGCTGCATAGTATATTTTTGTACTGTTTTAAACCAGATCTGCATGCACAATCATAGTGTTGCTGGTGTTGAATATGTACTTGAAAGGTACTTGACTTCCATCCTTTGCCCCTTGTCCTCTCCTTCCCTTTTCAGAGTCATAGAAAAAGTGATGTGGGTGTGGGGTTTTTTGTGTTTTTTTTTTTTTGGGGGGGGGT